TACGGAGCCACAAGCCCACGGTCGCGGTAAGGATTCTGCCCGTCCCTCCAATGCCGCCGCTCAGCAGCCCAGGCCCGCAGCCTCGGTCCCCTACCCCGCGCGCTGCTGTGTCCTCCCTTGACCTGCTCCCACCTGGGCCTGTCCAGTGTTGTCCTCCTGCGGCTCTTTGCCTAGAGTAGTCCCTGTTCAGAAGTCCCCATGCCCCGCGTTTCCCACTGTGCCTGCCTTGCTTTTTTAGGGCGCAGGTCATAGTGGTTTTAATTATGCAGAAACTGTCTGTCTCTTCCAACAGAAGTTGAGCTCTTTTAGGGCAGGGACTGGATCGCATTGATTTTTGTTTCCAGAGCACCCAGCTGCCGACTTGACCCATAGGGGGCGCCCAGTGGATGTCTGTTGAATTGATGAACACAACGCAAATCTAGGGCTTCCCACTGGGTGAGGTTTGCTGTAGGCTGGGGAAGCTGGAGGCTCAATCAAGGAATATTCAAGGCACAGTTACTTCCTGCCAGACACTGGGTTTGGGAGTGTCAAAACCACAGAACATGGAGAGTTGGCTAAGAGGGTGTGGGACCAGGCCCTGCACTGTACAGCGGAATCAGGTGTTGAGGGAGAGTCAGGGCTGCTGCAGGCTGAGAAGGTTTCAGGACGGAGGAAGTGAACCCTGAAGAGCAGGGAGAAGTGACCCTACAGTGAAACCACAGAAGCTTAAGCCTCAGGCTCCTCCCTTTGTCTCTTCCAAGGCCTTGTGCCCAATTTTGTGTTCATAATTGTGTGTTCTTTTTCTCTGAGGTCGCTTCCAAATGATATAAGTATCAGACTCCACCAAACATGGGGTGGGTCAGGATTGGCAGCAGAAGGTGGCAGCGGGGCACAGCTTTCTGCCCCCCAGCAGCCCCCCAGTAAGGCCAGGAGATGCTGCAGAATAAGACCAAGGTAGAATTCAATCTGAAAGACAGAGACCTGAGGTCTGGTTTCTTACATGCACCGGCGTGTGACCTTAGGCAAGTCACTGAACCACCCCTTCTCTACCTGCACAGTGAGCCAACAACCCTTCACCCGGTTGTTTAGAGCATACATAGTAGAGAAGAGGCCCTGTATTCGCGGTGAGCCACGCCCACATCCAAGACCAGATGCTGATGCCAGGATGGCTCTTCCCTGGCCAAGATGAATTTAATTCTCACAACAACCCTGTGGGGGTGGGACAGTATTCTGTAGATGATGGAAATGAGGCACAGAGTGGCAAAGAATCTTTTTCAAGGACACAAAAGTAGACTCAGCTCCTAAACTTTGATGTTCTCCACTCTAGAGGTAATAAAGGGTAGATCCTAGGGTGAGGTCGTGGCAGGGAGAGCCCTGAGAAGATGTGGATGGGTGGAGAATTCATGTGTGTTACATATACACTCCACCCTAGGAGCCAGGCGGCGGCTGGGTTTTCCTTGGGAGGAGGGGACAGGATGAAACGTTCAGGGCTGGCAGAGAGGTACCTCCTCATGGGAGAAGGGTTGGGATGACGCCGGCCAAACCAATTGAAATGCCTTCAAGTCACCCTCCTTAATCCAAGGTCTGTTTCAGTTTCTCCAACACCACAACCGAAGGGCTGGTATGCCCAGTTCCTCCCCTGCTCCATGCCCTGCCAAACCCCAGCCCAACCAAACTCAAGAAGGAACTCAAGAAGAAGGGCCTGGTTGGGAAGACCTACCCCTGCTCCTCCCTCAGCAAGGTGTGGGGCAAAAAACCTGAGTAGGGTTGAGGTGCCAAGCGTGTGTTGCTTAATCGGGTCATTAATGTTTCTGAACCTTGATTTCAATGTCTGTAAAATGGGATAGTAGAATAGACCTCATATTCCTTTCACTAGTCACTTTCCTGACTTTTTTTTTTTTTTTTTTTGAGACAGAGTTCCACTCTTATTGCCCAGGCTGGAGTGCAATGGTGCGATCTCTGCTCACTGCAACCTCTGCTTCCTGGGTTCAAGCAATTCTCCTGCCTTCTGCCCCAATCAAGTAGCTGGGATTATAGGCATGTACCACCATGCCCAGCTAATTTTGTATTTTTTAGTAGAGACGGGGTTTCACCATGTTGGTTGGGCTGGTCTCGAACTCCTTACCTCAGGTGATCCACCTGCCTTGGCCTCCCAAAGTGTTGGGATTAGAGCCATGAGCCACCACGCCCAGCCCCTCACATTGTCTTATTTAAGCCTCGTAATAGTCCCATGAAGTAGCTTAGGGATTGCCCTCATTTTTCATATGAGTATACTGAGTAAGCATTAGAGAGCTGGGGTCTGCAGGACTCTAAGCCCTCCATAATATTAGGCCCTACACTCTGTACAGAAGGTGGTACATAAAGGCATTTTTAAAAATGTCCAGCCCAACTGGGTGTCACTTCCTGTGGTAACTGACATTCCACTCTGTCTATATTTCAGTCCCTCAGCCCGTACACTTGTCTGCCACCTCCTGGGGGGGCACCCCAGCCTCTCAACCCCTACAAGTCACACCCTGATACTGCGGCTGACCTGCTATCTGCCCTGAGCCAGGAGGAGCAAGACCTCATTGGGCCAGTGGTCGCCCTGGGATATCCCCTGCGAAGGGCCATCATAGCTCTGCAGAAGACAGGGAGGCAGAGCCTGAGCCAGGTGAGTTGGGGGGCCCAGAGCTGATGGGCTGTGATGCTGGAGCCAGGTGAGTGGCCACATGGTTTTCACCTTTTGAGCTGTGGCATAGGCCCAACAACAGCATCAGCCAACCCCAAAGATCTGGAGCATCTACGGCCCCTCAAGGTTGTCCTGAGATGGTCAGGCCTTTATACCCCTGCCTCAATCAGTCATTGCATGTGGGAAGGGGATGACTGAGGTAAGTGGATCTCTGTTGTTAAGGTAATCCCTGAAGGGGCAGACAACTGAAGAGTGTCTCCCAGCTCTCCCAGCTCTCCCAGCTCTCCCAGCATCTGGGGCAGTAAGTCCTGCAGTGAAAGGGTATGTGGATGGAACATCACAGAGTCTACCACGCCCAGGTTCTACTCACCCACGTTCTATTCTTCTAATAGAATTCACTCTATTGGAAGTATGGCAGAGACTCATGATGACACTCCAAGGACAGCACTCTGAGCCACGCTAATATTTGGAAGCAGGTCTTGACCCCTAATATAAGCCAAGAATATAAGAACACCTGCAGAGGAGTGAGGGCCCCCAAAGTGCTTAAAAAGAGGTGCTAGTCACAAGATACCTGGGAGAAGAAGTGGTATGAGTGTTATAGGGGTGTTTCTGTCATCTATTTTTGTGTAACAAACTACCCCAAAACTTAGTGACTCAAAACAACCATTTATTTGCTCATGATTCTCTGGATTGGCAGTTTTAAGGTGGACTCAGCTAGGGGGTTCTTCTGCTCATCTCACCTGAAGTCTCGTGTGGCTACAGTTTGGTGACTTACTTGGGGCTGAATGATCTAAGATGGCCTCATTCACCATACAGTGGGTGGTGATACTTGTCAGTTGGGCCACATATCTCCAGCAAGCCACCCTACTTGGTTCCAAGAGTAAGGCCTCTTGAGGCCTAGGCTGAAATTGTACATAGTCACTTCTGCCTCATTCTATTGGTCAAAGCACATCACTGACCACTCCAAACTTAAACAAGGGAAAAACAGACTCCATCTCTTGGTGGGAGAGGCTACAAAAAATTTTATGATCATTCTCAATCTACCACAAGGAGGTTCTAGTGATCAAGAAAGGCTTCATGGAGATACCAAGCATTGAGTGGGACTTCAAGGATGGATAAGATCTGACTCTGAAGGAAGGAGAAGGGGTGATATTCCAGGAGGGAAGGACAGTATGAATAAAGGAGTGGAGGTGGGAGGGAAGTGTTTGGGAGGCTCTGATCTGACCAGTCTTGTTGGAGGAGAGGGTGCATGAGGCAGGCTAGTAGGAGATGAGACAAAGAGAATTGGGGGTAGATTTAGGGGTCTTGAAGCCTGGCCTGAGAATTTGATAAATGACCCAATAGCCAAAAGGAGGCATGGAAGGATTGTAAGTAGGGTCAGGAGGTGACACTGAATGCCATTGCCTACACCCCCACGTCCCTAACTGAAAGCAACATCCCTTACTGTGCTGTTTTCTAAACATCGGGACGCTTCATGGTTGGATGGCTGTTCCCAGGGTAGTTGGCACTTTTCATTTTTCTCCCATTCCTGCCCCGC